GGGTCTACTGCGCATTAAGCATCACAAATAAGACCGTGTGCCATTGCTGCTGTGCATTAGTGCCAGCTGTTGCCCATTTATGTAGTACTGCATACTAGAGGGACTAAATTTAATTCACAGTAGCAGCACTGCATTAATGCACGTGTAAACATTCCCTGTGTGACTTTGCAGCCTAGAGAGGAGAGACTCCTTCTGCTAGAACTGTTTCTGCATGGACTATTAAACACCTAAGTGCAGGTACCTGCACAGCTGATTTGTATTTGGTCCTACATCCCATTGACAGCCAGTGAGACTCAACCTTCCTAAATTGCTTGCAAAATTGGGCCTTACCTGTTCAAGCCACTCAGGATCACCTTCCCAAAAGTATTTCAGTTCACAGGGGACAGCTGGACAAATTATATGGAGGCAAAAGTGAAGGGAGAAAGCCACTGTGCTGTGCAGTAACGCTTCAGTAAGTCTGCTTTTATTCTGCAGTAAGCGAGACCTAAGCCAGGGCAGAAACTTGTTTCTAGGTCTCTCAGACAGGTCGAAAATAGAACAAGCGTGCACGTGGAAGCCGTGTTCCCTTCTCACGTCTTCAAACAGGCTGAAACAAAAGGCCTGAGCGGCCCAGCTTGGCACAGGGGAGGGTGGAACCGAAGCATGTGGGTTATTAATGCATCTGAGCAGAAAGAGCCAGCAAAATTCCACACCCCAAAACTGGCTCCCTGGCCTGTCTGGCTGTGAGGATTTGGTTTATATACAAATAAGCCACAGAGCGGTTATTCAGAAGTTTACATTATTAATTATAACAGCTAACTACTGTATTTAAGCTGCCATGGAATTGCTAGTCCGCCACTCCACTGTGCAGTCGAATGCTGGCACATTCGTACAGCCTGCAGATCCAAAGTAGATGACGGCTTGATTCTGAACTTTTCCCTAGGTGTGAGTCAACATTGATGATTCATGTGTTTAATAACAAAACCATACTGGCATTTGGTGGGCTCCAGGATTTATACTGCAGAATCTCAGGCCAATGACTTCGCCAACATCTTTTCACTAGCGAACAAACTTCTTGTTCTTAAAATACAATTCACTGAGCTAACAAATGAGGCATAAGAATAGAGTCCATTTTGAGAGTTTTGGAAAGCTCCTTGTTTAAGGCTTGTTTCAGACTTGATTGAATAAGGCCTTTATCTGAAAACCTAGGTGCTTTCATTTATTTATTTTAAATCTGCCTGTCCCTTAAGTCCTGGGGTTACTCTAGGAAGGGCTCAGAGCTTTGCTCAGGTGAAAATGTTTCATGCGTTGAAAACTGCTAGGCAATGTTCCTGTTCCATAAAAGAGGTTCTAGACAATTAAAAGCTGTATTTAATGAACAGACTGTTTAATTGCTGTTTACTATGCTCCTGCTCCAAACTACATACACACACCCTGTGCTCAAGCGTGACGGTGTATCCCATGATTATAAGCACGCGTTGGCTCTAGCACCTCACTGAAATGGCATGGATAGAATGCTGCTGCTACTCAGGGAGCTGCGTTTGCTAGAGTTGCAAATACCGAGATGGGAGGGCTGTGCTCTAGTCTTAGGTTGGGCTGCCAATGCTGCACCCATTCTCTCCTCACGTTTCCACTTGAATAAAGCACAAGCAGTCAGGTTTTACACATGGGAAGTTAATTTCTTCCTTAAGGATTGAGCTACAGTGACCTGCACTCAGGTCTTGGCAGGAAAACCAGGGCATTGTTACAGTTTTTTACAGACTGGAAGACTTTAAGGAAATGGGCAATTTATAATATTGTTTTTTAAATCTGATTTTGAAGCAGTCAAGTAGCATGCAGTTTAGTGACATGGCATGTTTTAAACATGCCTGATGTCTTGGGGAACAAGGACATTTTGTGTTTTATTTTTTATTTTTAATAGTTTAATGCTGAGGGAAGTTGTCAAATTGGCAGCACCAGAACTAAAGGGCTGGTTGATGCGATGCTGCAATGCTAGTTTATTGGAGACACGTTTGTTCTCAAGTTTGGCAGACACTTGGCTCTCTCTCCTCATTCAAATACATGCAGATGTGTGCCCTACGGGCCAGTTCAGGGCTGCGGGTGGCTGTGGCTCTCTGCTTCAGGCACGTCACAGTGCTGAGAGCTGTCGGGTCTGAGGCTCGCTCTTTCTCATCGGTGGTCTAGGATCAGTGCTTTAAAAAGGTGTTGCTCTGGAACATGCTTGCTCAGAGCTGGTCCTTTTTTTTTTTTTCTCTGACACATCATGAAAAAAAAGGTGCGTCTTGAGCCATGGAAGTGACCTAATTAATTACATTGTTATTTTCCAATATATTTGTTCTTTTACGATTAGTTAGCCAGGTCTGAAAATCTTGACACTGAAAATATTCCCTTTCTCTGTTCTTCTGTTTGTACTTAGTGCTCAGGTGTGTAATGAAGATTAAATAAATTTTAGCCATGATACCTAGCACCCTTATGACACTTTTCATCCAAATATTTCAAAGCTCCAGGCAGTATTCATTATTGGTCTTGTTTTGCTGATGGGGAAACAGAGGCAAGTAGAAATTAGTAAACCTGCAAAAACAGTGGGTTTTGACCCTGTTAGACTCAAGGCATCCACTGGAAAATGCCAGCTTCTAGCTTTCACTCATTTCTTGACTAAGGAAAAATAATAGAGCAATTCTTCTGTTGCAAAGAACTCAGAAAGACTGCAACAGGTCAGAAAGTGTTGACACTGTGGATTCCTATTTGAAATTTCTGGGTTTATCTTGTGAATCATGTGTAGGTGTTTGCACACCTAACAGGGCTAATACTGTGTGGCACCCCATGGTATCCTTACAGGATCTCCCAGCGCCTTGGTTGAGAATCACTGGGCTCAAGTCATACATCAAACTATCAGTATGAAAGACAGAAGGGAGATTCCCCTGATGCCCAATACTGCGATAACTAGATTATTGACCGACTGCTGCAAGGAAGGAAAGCCTTACACAAAAAGCCAGGTAATAATATGGAGAAGACTGTGAACAAAAAGCGAGAGAAATTTAAGTTATAACAAATTTCAGTACAAGTATGCAAGAGGATACATTGTATACAATGTATTTGTAAACATCCTCTCTGGAGTGAAATAAGGAAGATAGGTGATTACAGAGGAGTCAGGAACCTGGGTGCACAACTATTTTTGGTTTTCCTCATGCTGATTTTGGGATTATGTAGTCACTGCCAACTCATCAACATAAGTAGTAATATATATATATATATATATATATAAATCCTGCACTAGTTCAGAACCTCTTTTGAATTTGTCAATAAAACCACCTAGTGCAACTCCCAGAAAATGACCTTGCTACACTAGAGGTCTTTTCACATATTTTATATACAGCACAAAAAACTGCAGGGAAAAAGAAGGATGAACATGGTCACAGGGTTGGAGTATAAAGGAAAACATATGCCCCTTTCCAGCTAAATCCTTATTCAACATTTTTCAGGACAGAACTCCAGGAAAGCCATAAAAGAATTATTAAAAACTGAGATTTTAGGAAATAGCATTCTTGATCTTATGTACATTTCTAGCATCACTTCCTGTATATTTTTAAACTGAAATCCTCTTAGCATGCAAAGTAAATAGATTATGATATACTGGAGGATTAAGGATCACTGTCTGGTGTCAGATTAATCCCTCATATAGACCATCACTTGTAGTGACAGAAATATGGCTGCAATTCAGCAAAACAGCTCTACAGCTAAGTAACACATTTCAGCATTTTCTGTAGAACAAGTGAGAGGTTTCCTTGGTCTGTTGTTGTGTTGCATCTATCTCGGAAATTAAATTTAAATCTCTATCATATAAAACACATGCTTTCCTCAAATTACTGTAAGGATGCACGAAGTAGCTATCCATTATACACACAGCTGTATGCAGTGAGATCCTGTGGTAGACTGCTCTGTTTCATAGCTCTCTCTTTATTGATATTTTCCCCATCGCGTACGTAAAATTTTATGCATTTTAGCAGTTTTGTTCACTTGAGATTTAAGTTTTTCAGCATGGTTTTAATATACTCAGCTGAATACACTGATACAAACAAACTGTTAAAAGAGATTGGGGATTTTCTTTTGCTACCAAAACCACTCTACTCAGCATCTGTTAGATTTCAACAGCCTTTTAGCTCTTAGGGAAATGTCTGACCATCACAAAGCAAAATTATTCATTTTATACAAATGCAGATTTTGTTGTCAACAAAATGTTTTTAACATGTTATACAAATGCAGATTTTTAGTCAACAAAATGTTTTTAAATGTTTAAAACATATTTGCTGTAAACAAACAACCCTTTATTTTCAGTCAGGTTATTCAATAAAAATACAACTTATTCACAGCAATCAAAAATTTCATCAAGTAGATTGTTGGCTTTCTGTTTTAGTTTCTGAATGGTCCAAAAGATCAGGCGTAAACCACATGTATCTATACAGTAGAATAAAACCATGTGTACATGCATGATACTCTGCATCAAATGGTGGGAAGGAAGACTCATCACAATGCTCTTTTCTCTTTTAATAGTTCAGAAAAAAAGTACAGTAATGAAATAGGTTAGGTTACTTTCTCAGTACATTTTCTCTTAGTGGTTAGAAGAGCAAGATTAAAATCTGGACTCCAATGGCATGATGTTTAAGAGGTTCCATGTCTTTTTTTTAAAGGCAAAATAATGGTTATTCAACTAAGATGATATATCTAGATATGAAAATTGAGAGCATTTTTAGAAAAATGCTGCTGACTGTGAAAGGCTGCTCTTTCACAGAGGTATCCCAAGTGAAGATTTTATCTGCTAGTATCTCAGTAGAATGGTTTTCAGAGCCTTAAGTGGAAATTCAAATCTGTATCCAAGTGAAGATTGTTAAAATATATAATCCATAGAGAATTACAAAGAATGATCTCTGTGAGCTTTATAGGCTTGTTTAATAAAAAAACATATCTTTCAACATTGTTTACCATAATAGGAGTATTCAAACTTATTAGATTTTGTATGTCATAAAATGTCATGATGCAAATTTCACTGTATCACCCTTCATAAATATGGTTCCGTTTTTGCAGCTATATATTCCTGTAAATAAAGCAACAATTTAGTGTTTTAAATACAGCATTTCTGAAATGTAGACCTGAACTTCCTCTTGAAGGGCCTGATTCAGGGTTCACAGGAGCCAGCTAAAAAACAGTTGCCCACGAAGTTGTCGGAGAGATGAATCATGCCTTACATTTTTGTTTCTTGAAAGTGAAGGCATTCACAGTCTTGATTATACTAGACCAAAGTGTACCACTTTAAGAGACCCACTTCCTTCAGTTTCCTGGGGAGAAAGAAAGACACAAAAGTATACTCTTTGTAGTACAGAAATTAAACAGGAAAGATTTCAGTTTTGCATCATTATACTTTAGAAAAACTGCCCAAACGAAATACAAGGACACTTGAACAAAGCAAAACATTTACTCCAATTAACTCTATAAAGAAGCTTACAGGCAAAAGCTATTCGTCTACCTTATAATTAAAACTTATGATGAACATTATAAAATTGTATTAATGCCAGTATGTAGAGAGCTGGGTTTTCAAAGCTGTGCTATATTGCCCTCTTCATCTAGGTCTTCAGATAAAGCGTACACATTATATACAAATGCACATAAATCAGATGCTCCCACTGCATGTGACTGGCTGAAAACCTAGCTCATTTTTGTCCTAATATTTATTAATGAAATGTCTTTAACTGAATGTCCCAAAACACATGGGTGTTTCATAATTTATATTACTAATGTTCTTACAAAAAGTGTGAAATACTTTGTTATAGAAAGTGCTATAAGCCAGTGAGTCATTGCTTCCCTTTGAATTACATATAAGTAGTTATCTCTTCTTGATGTAGAGCCAGCTAGGTGTGGAATTACGTTTATGTCCTGCTGTGGTACACAAAACATATAAACTTAAATTAAAAAAGATGGGAAATTGATAGCAACAAGGTGTGTGAGTTAGGACTGCTTCCAGCTGTGTGTGCTGGTAAGTTCAGTGTGATTCATGTGACTTTTTACTCTCAGGGAAAGGGAAAAAAACCCGTCAATCTAATAGAGAGCATTAACCAGAGCAGCAGCTCCATCTCATGGAATATATATTCTACGACAGAGATAGAGATCATGTTAAACAGCACTCCGGTGCATACAGCTGTGTGGTACAGACAAAAAACGTTTCAACAGCCAGACTTTTGCTACAATGTGGGAACCCCCCCCCAATCCACATTTTACTTCCAGCTTCTTGTTTGGCATTTTCCCTGCCTGGTAGATTTAAGGAACATTAAAAGGCTTGTTTTAAGGAGGCACTTGGCCATTACTGAATTGCTGTTCATGAGGCAAAAAAATAGTTTCTCCTATCTCTATATAAAAATAAGCAGTTTTATATAGCACACTGAAGGCTATATAATATTGAAACTGAGGCTACATCTAGAGAGCGGAGGAGGGAAAAGGAGAGAAATCCTAGCCTACAGTCGAGTCTCCTTTGCGGAAAGACCTGCAACTTCTGCGGGCGGCTCTGCAGCTCAAGGATGGGACTCAAGTCACCTCAAGACCCACCTCAATGAGCCGTGGCAGAGATTATGTTTGAATCAAGGGATCGCTGCTGCCGACAGCGATGAATGAAGCGTGTGCAGACATTCTGGAGCCAGCTTGGGTTCTGCTACTAGTGGAGCTGCAGCAGCAGGGAGCTGTGTTTGGGATAGCTACCCAAGTGTTTACCCAGCTTCTTAGGAGGGATTTGTGGCCTGCAATGTTTCCAAGATTGTGAGTTTAAAAATAGCAGAGGTATTGGATGGCTACATGAGCTGCAATGACTGTGATGTAGATCTACCAGCGGTTATCTTTGCAGGTGAATGTCACATCATTCCCTCAGGCCAAGTCCACCATACTTCAAGTCCTGTAGCAAAGTTGCTGACAGAGAGTTTGGATGCCCTAAAGTAAACATGGTTCTTTGGGATGCTGTAGGTGGTAATAAGCAGCATCCCACCAGGGGTGCCTCTGCCTCTCATGCATGAAAGATTCGGTTTCTTTGAATAGCAGTGTCTCCTAGGTTTCCTCGTGATCCTCTACAAGGAGCTGCAGCCCTTCCCTCTGTTTCCTTGCACTGTGGAGCCCACAGTATCTGATGACACCAAAAAAAGCTCTAGGGAAGAGAAAACTGGTCGTGGGATCTGCACTGACACTGACACCTCAAAGAACTGAAGATCCAGCGTCACTCACTATGCATCACGTACATGATGCCATCAGATGTAATTGGCAAGTAGGCTGGTGAGTGGTTGAATCCAGTGGTTTTAATTGGACAGTGGTTTTAATACTGCACTTCTGAACTTGGATTTGTTAAGGGACCACTGCTGGTCAGCTGCAAATCGCTGTCTCAGGAAGTCAGTCCTTTAGGTTGCTGCTGACTCCTAGGAAGTGAAGGACCACCAGGGCATGGTGCCACCAGACACAGAGATAAGCAGCAGGTTCCTCATTGTTTATGTGATGCATAACTATAGTGCTCTTTTGGGAGATTTTTTGCTACCCGATTCCAGAGGCCCATAGTCCAGGTGGCCCAGGCCGGATGTTTGGGCTGTACCCAGTTTATCCATGATCAGCATTTTTGTTCTATGGGGGATTAGAAAAGGTTTTCCTGCTGTGTGATTCTGGCATCCAACCTGCAAACTGAGCTCTGCAATGCCACACTAGGGCGCTGAAGTCTCTATCCAGTCTCAATGGAAAATACTTTCACTGCAAGGTATGGCAATGGCCTGGCCATGATTTGTTCTGCGTTCAAATCTCAAATACTTCCTATGAACTAGGAGATAATAATGTGCGAGTTTGTGTCCTGAAATCTGAGAACTGCCAAGCAGGCTTAAGCCTGAGGAGATGGGATAATGGAGGCAAGTGTTATTATCCTGAATCTGACACTATCCATTTGTTCAGTCTCTTGCCTATTGTCTGTATAAGGAAATATCATAAGTGGAAACCTTTTCCCTGTACACCTGAGGAATTGCTTCTGTTGGCTCCAGGTGAAATGGTACGGCTACTTCTTTTTGTACTAGGGACTGTTCTCAAGAACCTTATGAGGCATGAGAGAGGAGAGGGGTAGGGGATGGGGTGGGAAAATGATTGGGGCTTGCTTTGTGATTGCTTTGTCAAGTAAGGATGAGGATTTCTTCAGTGGAGACTAGGGGGCCACAGATGTTCCACCACTGCTCCAGATTCTTGGGCAGTGATGTCAAGCTCCACTGCCAGTGATCTGGGTGGTGATACCAATAGAGAGCCTTGCCTCTTAATCCAGGGGGTACAATAGTGAAATCTGCCATGAGATGATGGCCCCCAGTAGGGCCAACGTTACCAAGGTGATTTGGTGGCAAGAACAGGATCTGTTATGGAGTCAGTCCAATGTCATTTTTGCCTCCTCTGTGGTAGTGTCCTGTGTGTGGGATCTTTAACACAGGCTTTTGGGTGGCATTCAGGTGGTGACTGAGAGGCATCCCTGCTCAACAGTGGGGAGAAAGGATAGGTCAGCGATGGTGACCTCTTGTTGTACTCTCCAAATGGCAGTGATGCTTCAGCTCTTCTCGGGGCTGATTCCAGACTGATGATGTCTCCAGAGGGATCTGGTTCCCTAAGGACACACTTCAGTCCTGTAATAAGCACTGCAGTTGGTCCCTGCGTCTTTGTTGGTGTCCATTTAGCACCACCTCCTTGGCAGAGGACTGAGATGCCCTATTCTTGGAGGGATGAGGTCTCCCTTCTTCTCTCTGGGGTGATGTCTCTCACCACCTACAGAGGTAGTTCTTTTTGGCCCTTTCAGTTTTGCCTTTGCATTGGTATCAGCATGGGTGCCCTGATGATGACGTTCATTGCCACTACAGGAGCTGGTGCCACTCTTATTAATACCATTACTAAATTGGTAGCTGCCTTCAGGGCTGCTGACAGCATAGTGCTGGGCTCATCAGTATCAGTGTAAATAGTGATATTTCAAAGGAGTTTTTTGCCTATCTCTTCTTTGGTGTACAGCTAGATCTGGGTATGGTGTCTGCTTAGAGGGGCACTTCTTGAGGACAACTTTCTGCTTTTCTTGGAGAGGGAGACCTCCTCCATGTTTAGAGATAGGTATCACCGGATAAAGTAGGTATTCTTTCAGCTGTGTGCCCCTTGATTTGGAAGTCCTTGAGATCAAGCACTAGCAGACATGGCTCTTCTCCAGATAGAAGAGGCATCAACTCTACCCACTGATGAGGGCCAGTCAAGTAGGTGTTAGAAACCACCACAGCAGTTGGCATGATGCACTCTGCCATCCCTGTTGTGTTTATGATTAGTTTTCCAAGTTGTGTCTTGCTGTCTTGGGTGATGAGAGGGATGTGAGGGAGGTCTATGACCTCTTATGGGAGCACATGTAGGTGCAAGACACCTACACAGCCCCAGTGGACACTGATGATTTTTTTTTTTTAAAGAAAAAGTAATCTCATGGGTAGAAAGCACATGTACACCTACATTGGGCTGCACCGTGCCATGCACCAAAAGAAGTGTGGTAAAATTTCATGCCTTGCTAATGGATGCAAGACTCTTAGCATTCTCACTTGTTTAAATGACACTAGACATTTCAACATGGACAATAGCATTATCTCAGTAATTAACCTGCAGTTTTGACTGTTTCTAGGCACAGCAAAATACCATGTGCTCAAGCCTTATTTTTCTGTTTAACATTCAACACTAGACACTTTGTATCTTAATCATGGCTATGCTCTGTTGTTCCTTTTTTGCTTTTAACTCCTCCCTAAATTAGACTGACTACGCCTCGTCTTTCACCAGAAGGGCAGTACAGGAATTCTCTGTGGGAGGTGTGGTCATTTCACAATATAGATTAAGCTAGTGACATTTACCTGAAGTTTTTCAAGTGTCATACAAAGGCAGGTGAGCCTTGTTAGCCCTATATCAGGTAGGGAACCTAAGCTACAGAGAGGTTAAGGCCCACATTTTCAGTGCAGAACATCTGGAGTCTGATTTTAGAGGCAGGTGATTAGCAGCTTTTGAGGTCTGGCCCTGCTCACATCAAGCTGGACCCCTCCCCCTGCCACAAACTATGGCAGTCCTAATTACTACAGACTTCTGAAAATCTGGCTCTAAATAGCTTGCTCAGGGCCACACAGCTAGAATAGGATTAGGTACAGAAGATGGCTCTCAGGACTTCCAGGCCCCTTATCTAATTAAAGATGGGCTGGAACCCAAATGCAACACCCAACACTTAGGAAACGTCAGGAGGTCACCCCAGCACTGGAAGCTGTGTAGTTCCACTGGATCTGAA